TCGTTTTGGCACGTGCCCATATCTAGAACCTGTAGGACTGTAGGGTCAGCATGGGTGCCTGTTGCCCTCAAACATTTTTGAACCAACATGCCTGATCATGCCTTGGAGTCTTGGAGGCCTGCAGCAGGCACTACCAGAACCGGATCACGGAGGCAAATCTACCAAAAATGCCCTCGGAAGAAACCTCTGTCCTCCTAACTCTTACTTACGCCTGCTCACAACACCTTGTCCTGGTCCTGCTTCGACAACTGAAGAGGACAACCTTGCTGCAAGTGTGACCCTGCCTTTGCCTAACTTCCCCGAATGAATACATCGCCGACGCATGCCGAAGCCCTTGCAATGGACAGCGACACGTGCCTCCGGAGCCCTGAGCACTGCAATCTTCAGCCCGAAGCGTGCCAGCAAGCAGCTCGAGGTCGCCTTCGAAAAGATCACCGGCAGGTTGAGATGCGGATTCCAGAAGAATGCTTGAGACTGCTTCTGATGCGGCATAAGGCTTGCCCGTTTTCTGCCAACTTCGCCTACTTGGCCTAGCAACCCACCAGTGGAGATACGACATTGATGCTGCAGGTGGAAGGATCCATGCGCAAGATTTATTGAAATGCCTCTCCTGGGGATGCCTGCGCAGGCCTGAACCAGAAGTTAAATCTATGGCAAATTCGTGGCATCTGTGCCTAGAAATTGCCGCATTGAAGCAAATAGGGAACACAAGAACCGCGGAGACTGTTCGGCGTTCGTTGCGTAGGACTCTAGGATTTACCCGCTTGGCAGCTGCCGATCCAGGTGAATGAATTGATCAACTGCCCACTGCTGACGAGTGAAGGGGAACCTGACGACGTTCACCTGTTTCCTGTTCAGGATGGCAACAGTTTAGACTTGTATTGATATACAAGGTGCACAGGTCCTTCCGCAAATGGTTTTGCGCATGTCACGCGTTCTGCAATCCTTGTGGACTAGCCTTCGCAACATGCATGTCAGTCTTCTTTTTATCTAAGCCTCTCAGCACTAAGCAATCTAAACACTCAGCAAACTTGTTTCCACAGATTTGGGATGGAAGCGCAGGGCCACCGCGCCTCCAACATAGGCAGCGCCGCCATGCTCCGCAGCACCACAAGCGTCGAAGGCCAAGTGACCCCCAAGCACTTTCAAGTTGTTCCAAACTCGGAGGCCGCCGCCACTGCCATGGCCAATATGGTTAAAGCAATTCTTGAAAGTGACCGAGGCATTTAGCTCTACGGCCATGCTCCCCGCTACAAACGCGCACGGGCCCTGGAGGCTTTTGCTCGCCACGAAGGTCACCGCACCGTCAAAGCGAGTGTTGTCTCCGAAGCTAATGGGGGCCTCCAAGGACAGTATACCTGGGCAGCTTGGGATGCAACGTGCAAGCGTCCAAAATGGCTTTAAGCAAAGCTCTGGATGCTTCCGCTGTGGCCCTGACTTTGTCCTGTGATATTGCACGGTCCCTCGATGAAAAGTGGCTTCTCAACCTGATGTCAGATGCTGGGCTGCAAAGGAGACACAACATTGGAGCAAAGTTCAGTTTTCCGATACGCTGGCCAAAGCTTTCTTTATATACATTTACCGGCACTTGAACTTCATGAAATAGCCTCATCTTGTCTTCAAAAGCGAAAGCCCAAGGCACCTTGTAGTCTTCCGAGAGTTGGAGCATGCCTTTGCGGCAGGCGAGCCGTCCACTTCCTGTCTTTGGGGACTCCTGCGACTGCTCATGTCCCATTGCAATCTTGCGCAGACTCTCTGTTAATGTGACACTTCCCGTCCCAGTGAGGCCGAAACGAGTGGAACTCTGACAATGGCTGCAGCAGGAGGAAGCTTCCCAGATAGTGACTCAAATTTCAAGGCTGTGGTGGGAGATGGTGGGAGCTGTGCTACAGGCACCTCCTTCAGACTGAACTGCACAACCAGCAGGGGCAGAGGATGACTGGGTACAGCCCCATGCGCATAAATGCAAACCCAAATTCACTCCAAAACATCTGAAGGAACATGTATCTATAACATCTAAAGGCTTTCAGAACGACACGTGCAGGTTCAAAAGACAGCAAATCTCCTGTCCGCCGTGCCGCCGTCCTGCCGCTGGCTACGTACAAGGTCCGGGCTGGGCAAAATAGACGGACGCTGCTTATGAACGACATGGCCGGCAACAGAGCGCTGCAGGTCCCGGCCTTCGCTCTCGGTGACGTGCACTACTCCGCCAGTGACCGCTAAGCCTTCGCCAGCATCAAGAGCACCTGCTCACTTGACATGCCCCCACATGCCGCAGGCGCAAAACGGTGTGACCCGAGCATGAGCCGCGTCCTGCACGCCAAACCTAGGATTTCCCTTGACTTTCTGCTTTCCTGTTCGGGGTTGGGATCTTTGGAAAGCGATGGCAGCCCAACCCCACCTTTGAGCTGAAGGGGTCGTGCAAATACTACCTGGTTCAAGCTTTCAGAACCGATTAGGTGCGAGCATGTACTTATGATCCACTAAGAGTCGCTGGAATTTCGGGGAATCCTCTGCGGCAAGCCCAGGAGCCTCCCCAATGATCTGCTGCTGCATGGCTGATGCTGATAGTGCCGCCGCTAATCTTCAGCAAGCCGTATGACAACATCGCGCCTGCAGTAGGAGAGCTTGAAAACAAGCAACCGTGAAGGCTCCAAACGCAGTCAAGCCCAAGGGTGGTCGTCGGAGATTCGTGGATTTGGCAGGCCAATGCAGCAGTCCTCCTCTCTCTGTCGGTAAGCTACAGTTGGAAAGTTGGTCGCAAGGGCCACGGCGAAATGCGCCACAGATTTCCAAGCAAATTATTCCTCATACCTACATCGTGTTCATGACTTTTGGTCAACGATGCGCTGTTTCAGCTGATTTGACCATGACCGCCATGTAGACCATGGGTGCTTAGAGGACCTTAGGGCCAATGAGAACGACTTGGACCACAGCCCCCGTGTCAAGACTCCAAGTTGTTTATGATTTGGGGGCGTTGTTCCCAAAAGCTTCAAGGCGGTTCAGTGGGCATCCAATACCATGCAGAAGTTGAGCATTCAAGAAGCCTCGTGATCCTTTCATGGGATTCTTGCACAACCGTCCAGAAATCAACGCAGTATGTTAGATGTGACAGGCTGCCTCTGAAAGCTCTAGCACCAGTGCCTTACGTACTGTACCTGTTCCCTCGCTTCCCTCGCCACAACCTCACCAGGCTACGAAACCTGCAGCATCACGTGGGCAACCCCTCGCCTCCTCGCAACGCACGCGTGTTTGACATTGAGATGGTGCCATGGAGGATCTCAATCCGCCCACTCCGAATAGCACCTGCAGCCAGGTGGCATGACACGCTCTGCTGTGTAGTAAAGACTGTATAGCGTATACATGTCCCACCGCCCCATGCAAGGACGGCTTTCCCTGAAATTGTCCAGGCCAGGGCTGTATATATAGGGGAAGTCGAAATTCAGAATCATGACCAGAAGCACCCGGGATGGAGCCATCGCAGGCTGCTCCCCCACTCTCTGTTTCCACCCAACCGCTTCGTGAGGGCTTCCCTGAAACAGGCTCTTGTACCAGATGCCAACAACATGTCTGCAAGGGACACAAAAGTCTCTGAAGCAATTTTTGAGGCGCGCATACGCGCGCGCGCGCGCCGCGAAGCAGGCCGACGCCGCTGCTGAGTTGCCTATGATATGTACCTCATGCTTCACACGTGCCCCTTGCCACCCTCACATTGCGCAGAAGAAGCACTGCACATGTGCGGAAAAAGAGGGCG